CCAGTCAAATGTGACGTCAAATGAAGGCGGAAATCCGACAACTCAGTGGTGCTTGATGACCTTGCCATGCAGCACAACTGACCAATCGATGATGCCTTCTGCAAATTGTGTAAGTATTTAAGCAGCCGAACCTGGAAAGCCAATTCATCTCCAGAGGCCCTGAATTCGAGATATTGCAGGTGAGTGTGGCTGCCCTATATTATAAAAATACATTCTCATGCCTGCTAACGATTCATGTAGTAGTAAGATGCCTTACTCTACTCAAACGCATTCCCTCTTCCACGCCATTTATAGGTCAACATACTAATACAATGAAAGTAATCCTGCTGAGTTGGCTATTCGTCCTTCTGGTCGCCATCCTCGGTAAGTTTTAAACAATGATGTACAATAATCTGCTTTTTATCCTCTTACCAGAAGAACAATGACTATGTATCCATTCAATTCTCCTCCTTATAGCGTCCCCTTCCGCTCAGGGAGCCAGCAGTGATTCATCGACGGACTCTACCACCACCGACGCCACCACCACCATTGCTCCTGCTGCTGGTGGTGCTGGTGCTGGTGGTGGTAAAAGCTCTTTTCAATCCACTCCAAGCAGTTCGGCTAGCGGCAGTTCAGGAAGCCCTGCAGCATGCGGCAATCCAGGGGGCAATCCTGGAGGCAATGCCGGCAGTGGCGGTTCACAGTCAGATCATGCATTTGCTGCATCGCCTTTGACGATAGCACCGTTTGCTCTCACCTTCCTTCTGTTTGCTCTATCAACGAAAATCTTCAAAGTTCCCTAACTGCATCATTATATTTGACAAAAGCCGCCTTATCATTGCATTTTTAAGGGATTTTGTAATTAACTTTTTTGCCCTGTAAATAAACATGACTTTCATATGAACTCTTTTAGTCTTGACGTGTTCCTGAATTTCCTGGCGAAGATATGGAATGAATTCACTTAGACGCTGTTTCCATTCATCCGAACTCACACAAAGTCTGTAAGCACCGGAAGCCACTGGTTTGCTTAGTACATTTTCCTAGGATTTAGATCTAGGGAACTCGCATAAGTGCAATGACGATAAGTTCACCCTTTTGACATAGTGGACGCTTTTGTGTGGATTAGAAC